CGCCTTTGGCACGGGCTTTGCTGAGTACGTGTTGGGGGCCCAGGGGCGGGGTGCCTTCCTGAGCCCCGGCGTTTCCCGCCGCAGCGCCCTTGTGGGGGCCTTTCTGCTCCAGGAGGCGGGTGCTGTGCTCCAGTCTGGTTGGGACGTTTCTGGAACCAGGTCCCCCACGTCCCTCTAGCAGGCATGAGGTGACCACCCAGTGGTGTGGGAGCAGCCAGCAGCTTTCTTTCAAAATGTCTTTGAGCTAAATATTTGGGGTTCTCGCCCTGTGCTCTGGGGTGTCCTCAAATCCTGGGGCTCCGCGCACTGCTGGCACCTGCACCTGCGCCTGGGGGTTCCAGTGACAGCCGGGGAGCGTGTGTGACCCCCTCTTTCTTTCCAGCACCCTGAAACTCTGGGACTACAGCAAAGGGAAGGTAAGCAGCAGAGGCGACGCGCCGGGCCGGGTGTACCGAGGCCGGGTGGGGTTTTGGGTGATGGCTGAGCTGGGGGGACTCAGAGAGCCATGTTCATTGAGTTGGTTTGGTGCAAATTTCTCCAAGACGTGGGTGTTTGCGGCTGGCACATCAGCTCTGACCACGTGGGTTTGTGCTGTGGGCATTTGAGTGCTTTTCACAATGACGTTGGGTTGGCCTTAAAGGGCGAGCACTCAGCATTCGGGGATTGTCAGGAGGCAGGGAAGCGGCCTCTGACCCGCACGTGTCCTTTCAGTGCCTGAAGACGTACACCGGGCACAAGAACGAGAAGTACTGCATATTTGCCAACTTCTCCGTGACGGGGGGGAAGGTGAGTTCTCGCCGTCCTTCCCAGGCCACCTGAGAGGCCCCTGTGCACAGAACAAGACACACAAAACCGAAAACAGCCACACGCTGTGGAGTGGTGGCCGTCACTCAGAAAGGGGCTGTCATGACTCGGGTGCTCCTGGACCTGCCGGCCCCATAAGTCGGACCTGGACGGGGGGGAAGGTGAGTTCTCGCCGTCCTTCCCAGGGCCACCTGAGAGGCCCTGTGCACAAAACAAGACACACAAAACCGAAAACAGAGCCACACGCTGTGGAGTGGTGGCGTCACTCAGAAAGGGGCTGTCACGACTTGGGTGCTCCTGGACCTGCCGGCCCCGTCGCCTAGCGGGCCATGCTGCCCAGAGCCGGGGCCGCCCAGAGCCGGGCCCCAGGCCTCCTGCCTCAGTCCAGGGCAGTGGGACTGAGGGGATGTGACATCCAGCTGAAATGTAAGCGACACAAAACCTGTAAAGTGGTAACTGAAGAAAACGTTGTACATCCTAGATGCCCCGTGTGTGGCTGTTTCTGAGTGGGAGCGGGAGGGGGGTGAGGACAGTTCTCAGTGCGGGAGGGAGGGGTGAGTTCCGGGCTATGGGAACTCCCCTCACCTCGTCCCTATCTGCCCAGTGGATCGTGTCCGGCTCAGAAGACAACCTGGTGTACATCTGGAACCTGCAGACCAAGGAGATTGTGCAGAAGCTGCAGGGCCACACAGGTGAGCGGGCCGGGCCCTGCCCGCAGCGAGGCGGGTGTTGTAGTGCTTGGCCCGGGGGACGCTGCCCATTGGGGAGTGGCTGGCCAGCGCCAGGCCCTGGGGTCCGCCTCTTCCCCTCGGCTGCCTGGCCTCGAGTCCATGTGGCTCTGTGGCTTCTCCGTGCAGGCGGCCTGTGCGCTGGCCCGTGCCCAGCGTGTCCCGGGAGTGAGGACGCCGCTGTCCATTGCAGGGCCCCTGCTCCTAGGACTGTGACTCCAGGCAGGCCTGTTCCTCAGTACTCGGGCCCCTCACCCCCTCACTGGCTCCTCAGCACTCGGGCTGCCCCTGCCCCAGCTGCCTGTCCCCCCCGTACCCACCTTCTGTAGTCAGTAGAGAGTGGTGTGTCCCCTGAGAAGCAGCAGCACCCCCACATGGCTTAACCCCAGAGGCGGAGGGGCACCGACGTGGCCTGCTCTCCCCGGGGCGCGGCACTCTTCGGGGGCGTGGGGGAAGGTCAAGTTCGGGGTCTCAGCCTTTGTAAGTCCAGGGCATCGAGCTGCCGAGCCTGGTGCCCGCTGCTGTGATGGCACGGACTTGCCTCCTGTGACAGCAGCTCTGAGGGCTTAGCCAGGTGGCAGCGGGAGGGCGGGCGTGGGCTCGGCCCCGCTGAGGGTGTTGTCCAGGCAGAGACCACCTGTGACCCAGCCTGGTGTGGCTTCTG